CGTGATATATCTTGTACTATTGTGACCTGCGTGTCACTAACCTTGTATAAACTGCTTTTAGCAGTCTTGTAAGAGCTTGAGCCTAGGATAATACAGACCGTAGGTCCTTAGCTTAAATAAAAATACACTCTACTTTACTCTACTCTCTCTGTCTCTATCAACTATACAAATGTAAAGAGGCAGTTGGTATATGTATTGGTATTTATGCAGCGAGAACAGAGTGGCACTGCAGTGCAGTGGACTATACTAGGCACCTGATTGACATGCAGAGGTCCCAGATTAAAGTATCATACGATGTACCAAAATTTTTTTCTGAGAATAACCATTATCAATTTTTCTTAATTATTACTAGATAATAATACGTGGTTCATATAAAAAATAAAAATAATTTATTACAAATCAGGTGATGCTACTGAATGGGCTTAAAAATTTAAAAGTAAAATTTGACACTAGAAGCTTTAAAATCAAATAGATCAGGCTGCGCTCACATGCAACCTTAGGTACCTAAGATTAGAAGACCCTGGAAAAGTTTTAACTATGTTTTAGTCTCAGTTTTTTGAAATAATTATTTAATATATTAGGAAATATTACCTTTTATCAGTAAAACTGTTAGCTATTATTGAAAAAAAGGTAAGATGACACTTTTTGTCAACATTAAATTTTTTTGTTACATCTGTAAAGTTATGTGAGTAACTTAACTCACTGACCACCGAAGACTGCATAAAAGTTGTAATTTGTAATTTCACAAATTATATAACAAACACAATGTATCGTGACAATGCTTTCTCACTAAAATGTAGGTAAATAATTTTTTCTTCTAGTTAATCGTATTATTTAGACATTTCTAAAACCAAAGAAAATTAAAATTTTTCCAGGGTTTTTCAATCTCAAATTATTGAGATTGCATGTAAGCGCAGCCTCAAGTAAAAATTTTTAAGACAAAATATCGAAAAAATATATGTCACTAAGTGACGCATTCCCTAACAGCGCGAAAATTTGAAAGTGAAATTAAACGAGAAATCCTGTAAGTGAAGTGGAACGTCTGAAAAATTATGAGGGTGGATTCAGTTGGAGTCTGGGAGTTTATCAGACTGGCATTCAATCTCGTAATAGTGAAAGAGAAGTTCATTACGAAGCCACATATAACGTCTCCTTTATTCTTGTGAGCTTTAAGCCAGTCTGGCAGACTCCTAGACTTAATCTAAACTTATTTTAAGAGAGTCAAACAAATATTGAAGTATTTAAAAAAAGATGGAACGAATTCACGCTATAAATGCTTATAAATATAAAAAGAAAAATATAGAAAACGATATTTTTATTGCAGATCAGAAGCGGCTTTTAATAAATTAAAACAAGAGTAGTGGGCCACAGATTTAGATAATGTATTCAAAACGTAATACACGATTGCGGAGTTCGTAAAATTATACGAGCTTAATCTCCTAATTCAATAAATGCAGATCTCCCGTCTTCACGCTTAGGTTATCGTTGTCATCCTTTTACAATCTATGGAATTGACTATTTCTATCTGGTGTTATTTAAAATAAATCAAAAACAAAAAAGCTGGGGTATAATCTTAACATGAGTAACAATAAGGGCAATACGTTGCTATTTAGCTCATAGTTTTACTACAGAGTTGACAATTATGTCCGTACAAAGACTGGCAGCTCGGCATGATTTTCCTCAGTTTATCTATGCCAATGTGGCACAAATTTTAAAGTGGATAGTAGTGGGTTAAGATAGATTATTATGAATTTTTGAATTTTGGAAAAAAAACTCAAACTGGTTCCACTAAAAATAACAAATTTTCTTACAAATTTAATTCTCTTACCGTATTTAAAATGGAAGAAGCGTAAGAGAGGATGATGAAAACCATCAGGAGCTATTTTTAAACAGTCTTGACTAAAAAAATTCTTTACACCTCATTCACTAAAGCTGAGCACACAATTAACCAAAGACCCTCAGTTTATATCAGTGTTGATCCTTGTGACAAACAAGCGCTGACGCCAAATCACTTTCTCTTGGGTGCACCGTTTAGTACAATTTTTTCCAGATATTTAACTGCCAAAATACCTTTTCTAGAAAGCAATGGTAAATGACCTAGCAGACTATTTTTGGCATCCTTGGTTGCGCAAGTATTTACCATCATGAATTTCATCAGTTGAAGACTGATTTTTACTTCACAAAAAGTGCTTAAGAACTGGTGATATAGTTTTAATTCCAGATAATCAAATTCTATGAAATACTGTAAGGAAAGGCGTGATTCTAAAAGCCTTTTTCCAGTAAAGATAGTTAAATTTATGTTGCAGAAACCAAGAGTGCCAGCGGTCTTCTCACACAACCAACACAAAGTAATTTAGTTCGTCGAATCATTTTAATGCGACTTTTTATGTTAGAGGAGAGAATGCTACTAGCGTATGTTTTAAAAGTTACCATCATATATTTTTTAAATTTGCACTGTTCGTTGTTTATTTTTAAATATAGTTATTTGCTTAATATTGAGCTAGCTTCCTATTTTCATAGATTAATGGGCACACAGGATCCTTGGATCAAGGCTGCATGCATAACACGATTGTAGTACTCAGGGCCACTTTTACCTCTCTTCAGTGTTCTTGCAACGTCATAAAGCGCCACAACATACTTGGCATTCTGAGCGTTAAACTACTCTAAAATAAAACGCAGTAGTTACATACTTATGGTATTACTAGGCAGATTTTTTCTTAATGTTAATAATTAACTATATAAAAGTACATACCGCTTTGATCACGACAATATTATTTGCGATGTTTACCAGAAACTAGTAGTTGCCACCTAGCAAGCGGTAGGTGGTACACAATCAAGCTCAAAGTTTGAAATCAGAGCTACGCTTGACATTAAAAAATCAAATTCATGTAAAACGATTGAATTTAGTAAGTTATAATTATTTTAATAATTACTAAAACAATACCCCAGATGGTCACATACTGTAATTAAAAAGTTTTATTTTTACAAGTAAGATAACGCAGGAATACTGAACTACAGATTACGTTCAACAGCTAATACTAATGCAGCTGGAACTATACTTGGTTAAAAAAAATGCTGTGTACCTTCCATCAAATGAGAAATTTAAGGAATAATATTTTTTGTCCAGCAATTCTCATTTCTTATGCACGCAGACTACTAAGTTACTTATTTATTATACAGGCTCCGTTCACAATAATTAAATAAAAAAGAAATCTGTCAAAACTTTAGAAATATGATTTTTCAGCAACAGCTTCTCTATATACTAGTAAGCATTTAATTACTTATTAATGATTAATTTATCAATTTTACGATAAATCAAAAATTTTATATAAAATTTTTTTTAATTCTCAACATTTTCAAAAAATTTGAAGTAGTTTTACATTATTTAAGGTTTTTTTCATTAACAGCTTATTCACAGAAAGTTTTGCAAGCACACTAGCTGATTGCTATTTTATTTTATTCCCTCACCAATTTTTTCATTCGTGACTTAAGTGATTTTCTGACTTAAGAACGTTTATCACTGTTAGTGGAGTGAAAGTGAAGAGAGGCGAGAAGAGCGAAAGTGTGAGGCAATGGTGAAAATTTTTTTTTTGTATAGATATACTTATATACATACGCTTTTATACATACTTGACCCGTTTCTTCTCGCTTTATTGAAAAAAAAGAACCCTGTGAATTTGTTTGATAATTTAATAGGTTCATCTAAAAGCAATATATCATACAATAAAAAATTGGAGCTTTCTATAGATCAACGATCATTGCACCACCTTCGTACACAAAACCATTTTATAAGAGGTATATTTATATACATATATTTTCTGCCATATAATTTAATAGAAGTATTATTCCACATGTGCGTACCCCACATTTACAGTTCACTGACTTTTCAATTTTGTTTTTATTTGTCAGTACAAGAGTTATCGTATAATAAGTAAGTTACAACAGTATTCGATCTTCTTAAAAAAAACTAACACTACAGGAAATAAAACAAATTGTGCGAGTGTGTTAAGTTGTGTATATGAACATGAATAATAATTAAATATTTACTGTTACAATATTAAGCTTATTCGGTCATACAAATGTTAAAGTATAGTTTGGTTTGTAGCAAATCAATGTTTTACAAAAAAAAAAAAATTGCTTGTTAAATAATAGCCATAGTAAAGTAGACAACTATTAATAAACATTATTAGTATATATTTTAAACTTAACTAACTAATGGTGTCATTACTAATCGTTGCGATTCACAAGTGAAGATAGTGAAACCATAGAGTAAGACGTGTTTAATCTATTTATTGGCAGCAGCTTTTCTTATTACCACTGTCTTACTGCTTACTTTCATTACTAGTAATAAAAAACATGTATTCATGATAGTAAAATATTTTATTATTTCATGTTAAATACTGGTTTTAGATTTTTCGAATAAATATTTACTTAAAAGTTGTTCAACTTTCGACGCAGTCAGTTTTTTTTTTTCTTCTTATACTTACAATCAAAAAAAAGCCTAAAAAAGATTTCTATAAGACCATTCCGAAAAAAAAAGTTTCAAAATGTCCGTTTGCAATTTTTAGATCCAGTAGATTTTCTTAAAACGTAGATCAATAAAAATCATAAGAAATCTCACATTTTTAATAATTTTTAATATCCCTCATAATCTCATTCCATTTATCGTGTAATTATTTACCCTTCTTATATTCACTTGATAACTTTATTTTATATTTATCAAGAACCTGTCTCTCTATTTCATTTACATGATTTTATTTGTCTAATACTTACACTTTATCACCCATTACAACTTAACTAAAAGTTGTTTTAAACGATAATTTATGTATTAACACAGTCAACAAAGTATTTGGTTAAGTTTGTCTGCGTATAAGCTCAGAACTAACGTTAGAAGCTTACTTGTATCGGTTTGTGAAAGTTATGATATTATTAAGAATTACTTTTTGAACTAAAAACTAAGCTATACAGAGACGTAAGAATCTCGGCAATGGTAAACTCACCCATTTATTTCGTTCTCGAACCAGAATCTGTCAGCGTCACGCAGTCTAAGGAACTGATCCTGAATAATGGTGGAAAATAGTTCACCGGGTCCAGACGTGGATTCCAGCATACCACCGAGATATACATCTACATTGCTCAAATTATTAGCGTATATCTCCATAAGGCTACGCAATAGCTCTGGATTACGATTGAAAAGCTCAGGATTGATTTCGTTCCAGTAACGCCGAGGCGCTAGACCAAGATGTTTACGGAAAGCGTTGTAGTCAAGTAGCCCGTTATCGCGACCACGCATTATATTAAGAGCCCCAAGATCACGTAGAGAGTGCTCTCGTGGCCCAAACAGACTGTCTCGGATGTCACTAGTCAGAAGGCTGTCTTCACGCTCTGCCACTTGCGATGTCAATCCCATCACAAGCTCTTCCAGGGTGTTGTTTATTAGTATCTCCTACAATTAAAAAATTCACAGGAAAAACAAAATAGACGAACATGAGTGTATAAATATACATTGACAAAAATTTATATTTAGTTTCATACAACGTCATGACCTGTAATGTTCCTTTAAATATACATAAAGGAAAATTATTACAGACCGTCTATCCAAAGTATTTAGATTAATTGATTTATTTACTTATTTTTCTATATTTATTCTGACGAACTATGCATGTAACAACTTTTTATTGCTTCTTCTTTTACTGTGAATTAGTAAACGCCCAAACTCTTACTGTTCAGTACGCTACCGTAATCACAGTACAGTCAAGTCCAGCGTGCTATCACAACCACAACTAAACTTTATTTTATAGTTGTGCACACTTATGGTGTTTCTGGCCATATTCAAATATTAAAAAAAAAAATTTTATGGCTAACAAATATAAATAACATTTTTTTCAAAAATTGCTTAGGAGTAAGTTACTATTTTGTAGATCTAGAAAATCATACTTACCAAAATATAAAAAAAATTCTCTAACCGTGATTTTAATAGTAACTCCCACTTTTTCGACAGTTGCTCTGGCGATTTAGCTACCAAAAAGTTTTAAATTTTACACACTCTAAAATGTATGAAAACCCTTGTCATAAATAGAGAAAATTTTTAGTTCAAGCAGTATTTTTATAACTGTAAGACAGAATACTAGTTGTAGTTTTGACACCAAAAGTTGGATAATTGAACTAGGTATACGCTGCCGACATGCATCTAGTTAGTGCGCGTATTCCGTATGAAATATTGATTGCTTGCTTGTACATTTAGTAGAATCAGTTGACTTAAAAAAACTGTAAATTTTACTTTAGTATGCTAAAAACTAGAAGTTAATTTAAATTTTATTTCTTATTTATTTATTTATTTATACGTTGTTTTATTATTTATTTTATTCACCAGGTTACCACTACAGCCTGTTGGCCTAATCACCAGGGCCACCTTATTACCACCTATGTGTAGAAGTGATTTGCCAAATCTATTTTACTTATACGCTAACTGATATCATACGTTATCAAACTATGGGCCCAGTAGTAGTATCTCCGGTGAAACACCTTGCCAGTTGAGCTGATACCTTCTGCACCTATAGTGCATCGGGTCCCTTCGCCACTGTGTAACCTACCTCTAGAGAAAACTCCATATTTAAAGTCATTTTCTCTCGTCAGTTAAGTCAGCGATACCTACCTAGCGCCTGGCATTGGACTCACTTATTCTTACATATAGCCCTAACACTGTTTTACATCTACCCTGGCCCGAAGATTGTGGGGCAAAGAAAAAATCCTGGAATTACTCTAAAGAGAGGTCACACGAAAACATCCGTCCAGAAACAGCCAGAGTTTTATAGGAACTTTGTCTGGTGAAAGCAGTTCTAAAAAAAACTGCACTTACAAGGAATGTAGCCCACAACCCCTAGACCGGCATTGTATCAGTAACAATCATGCTTATCACTCAGCCAATGTCAATCTTTAGTAGTTTTTGTATAGATTTAAAAGTTTTTCGACAGAGTAAAAATTATAAATTGATGTTGATTGCTGCAAAGATACGAAGTTCCAAGTTATAAAATAATGTATTTGCTGGTTAACACTCTAGGGCATACATTGAAAGTTGAAAATCAAATATTAGAGGAGGCATTAAGTAAAATCAAAATATTTATCCAAACAAAGTTTTAGTTAACCAGAATCAACAAAATGGATAAAAAAGTATTTTGATAGTGATAACAATAAAATTATATTTTAGTCTTTTTTTACTTTCAACATGTTAGTGCTGCCTTAATATGACTCTTTGAATGAAAAAATTTTTAAGTTTATGACGGTGTCGTTTTCTTCAAAACATGGCTTTTATTAAACTAAGTAGAGTTGATAAATACATAGACTGAATTATAGATGCAATATGTGTATATGATGCGTGTTATCTTAGCACCTACATGATTTTCATCCTGAAGAGGCTGTCAGAAAGACAGCGAGATATTGATAGATGTAAAAAAATCATGAATAAGTTGTCATGCTCCAAACTACCAAGTTTGCATTGTAATATTAAAATTGTATTTTATTAAAATAGATCATAAAATGATTTCAGAATACTCAATGAATAAAACCATATTTTTTTAGATGTCGAGAAAATATTGTGTGAAAAATTACTTGACTACTTCTTAGCCATTGGAAAACAAATCTTATCTATGTCTTGGATAGGTATAGCTAATATTCTTTTTCTGAAGGGAGTGATAACTCACAAAATTTTTATACTTTATTAGATCCGAACTCTACAAAAAGTTTGTTCCTCTAGTTAGCAATAGATAAATAAGAATTACGTAAAGTAAAAGTGTTTATTTAGGTGGAAGCTTCTATAATACCAAAAATCATTTGAACTAGTTGATAGAACTATAAGAGATTTGTCATATGATAAATATCTGCTAGGAATAGGATGGACACTTTTGTCAAATTTTTCCAGTAGCAAAAAAAGTAAAAAAAAATCATGTCTTTAAGAGTTTTACAATGAATATGCATATTTCTTTAACGAATAAACTCTGAGTAAAATGCTAACGAAATTACTTACTAACTATAGCGCAAAGTCTTGTGTGCGTGCATGATTGATAAAATAGAACAAAAAAACGATGATCTTATTAGGAGGATTTATATCGTTTTCTTGGTAAAATATATAATTAAGGCAGTTAAACGTGGTTACTGACAAACGTAATAAATGATAAAAAGGATAAGTAAAAAAATTATTTTTAGTAGAAAATTTGATTCACATACTTTGTAAGTAAGATGTTTCTTAATATATTTGCTTTGTTGATAAATTAAAAAGAACTGCAGATCGCGGATTCTGTCAAAAAAGTTTCTCCTGCTACCACCACCCTATTTTTATTCTGCAAGAGTAATAAATGCATAGTTCATATGAAGCCAAAGAGAAGTGCTGCATAAAAAAACAGCCAATAAAAGTAAAAGATTTAGTACCAAAAGTTATAAATTATCAGATCATTTACATTTTTTAATAAGAACGATGAAATTTTTTTTTTAATTTTTAAGTAGCACCGTAAAAAACAATAGCAAACAAGCACAATCACGCTTGTTATTGAAAAATAAGGTTCACTTGTCATTTTATTTTTAAGTGCATATTTGAATCTCTTTTAGGCTATGTATAAATGCTACGGGCTCGATTCTCTAGCAGAAAATTTTTTATTACCTTAAGTACGGTAAATAATCTATTTATACCGTATATAAATAATATACAGAAATCAATTTTATTTGGTTCTAGCTTCTTTTCTGACACTTGATTAATTACAGGGCCAAAACTTTGATGAATTCGGATTTTGTCACAGCTTTAGTAACAAAATAGACGTGGAACAGGACATACGAATATTCTATCAATAATATTTGATTAAATACACACTTTTTTGATATTTTTGGTTTGTATAACTGTCACTGTATTTGTATGGGTCTCACTATTTTTAATATTACAGGAGTTTAACTATAAGAAGCTTGTTATACGCCTTAGACAGTTGATTTTAATGTTTATATTGTTTCTTGCAAGGATTCTTGAAATCATTAAAAAATCGATGGCTTCTTCGTAACAATTCTAGTTAACTTATTACTTTTTTTGGTAGAGCATAATACTATTCAAATTTTACGAATACCTATGGCAGAGTTTTAATGTATCTGATATTCCTTATCTCAGCCTTCCTTGTTTTTTTCTTCTTTAGATACTCTTCTTTTCCGTAAGTCTGCGAGTCTTTTGTGCACCCCCGTCATAAAGTTTCCCTCAAACGACTCGGTCATTTATTCTAGTGCGTACTTTTTCTAGGGTGCAGTGATTCTCTCAATTATACCCCTAAAGCTATTATCAAGTTTAATAGAAGTATTTTTCCCAATAAACTGTACTAATTTCTGTACCAACCCTTTTTTTAAACTGATAGTAACTTTACCCAATGAGTTATCACGTGTTGGTTTTCATTTGAAAAGAGAGTGTTGCATCGAGATCAAGCTCGACGTAGCTTTTCTCCCCCTCTCCTCCTCTTCTTTTCCCCCTCGTAAGGCCGCGTTTTCGTATCAACCTAAATGACATACACTCACACATGTACCAAGTACCGGAGCTAAGGCTTCGTGACACATGTATAAGGAGAGATCGAGTAAGACAAAACCTAAGAACTAGTCTACATCTCCTTCCCTCTTTATGCGTTGACATTGTCTGATAAAACTTAAAAATCATTTTCTATGCTTTTCCTCTTCTGTGTCTTAACCGTTTGTAAATAAGCTGAAGCTCTAGCCAGGATGTTGATTCACACATCGGCCAGCGTTCATGCAACGAGACTTGACAACAGCATGGTACACTTCTACCACTTTCTTTCCCTAATACTTACAATACCCAGAGACACCAAGCCCAAAAACAATATGAACTGTTATACGGCCTTATTTCGATAAGCAAATGCTGAGACCAGTATCGTTACCATACAATATTCTTTAGCAAGTAAATATCACCCCGAAACCAAAACAGCACATGTAAAAGAAGACGGAAAGCATAAAGGAAATCTTTCCCTCTCCCTGCTACGAGATGATGCAGACTAACTCTAAGAACCTATGTGCGTCTCGTCGTCTCTAGCCATAGTGGCAATAATAAGGAGGCAAGATCTTTGGCTATATAAGCCCATGATCTCGTTCACGAGCAGCTCAGTCCGAAAAAACTCGTTCAATAGTCAGGCCAGCTTGGGTGTATACCTAGAGCAGTAGCCACACTATAGACACATGACCTGGAGAACCCGGTCGATGCATTCAATAGTCAGGCCAGCTTAGTAAAATACCAAGAGCAGTAGCCAGACTAGTATACACGATCTGGAGAGTACGGTTGGAGTCTATTCATGACATAGAGAATCTGGTCCATCATTTTGATTTAAATTATATCCGGGCACCCAGATTCAGCCTTGAAAGTCACTTTGTACGCCCTTTTTTTTTTTAATTCTAATAATAAAAGTAAGTGATAAT